ATACTGGCCCATAAGAATCATTTGCTAAATTTCCTGGAATTTTGTGAGCCAATAGTTAAGTACAGTCATTATTAACAAACTACATAAACTTAAATATAAAACACAGGGTAATGAATACTCAAAGCTCATCGCTTCTTAATTATTTTACTGTTATCTATCCTAGTGGGTTATTTGTAGCTATGGTAAGATGGAAATATTTTATAAGGTTGCGTTACTATACATCTCTCCTCAGCTGTCTGTTCAGTGACATTATGTTGGGAGCCTGAAATTAGTGGTCAATGGTAGGAACATTTACACCAAGGAAAGTGGCAAACACTATACACCAGGACCTCTTTACTCTTCAGAGAGCAGGTTGTGGAATGTTTATCAGAATACCACTGCCCCTTCCCCAGTCCTCAGTCTTCTTTTTTCCCCAATCCTTTAATTCCAAAGGAAGAATAACTAGAAAGGGGAGCAGTCTCTTCACAGTCTAGCTTGGTTGACAAGTCAAAAGAAAAAAACAAAGATGGCGAAAAGTCAAGTTAATTTTATTTGTTTTGTAACAGTCTAACATGTGACTATTAGCTCTAACATAACGATGCAGAGGGTTGGAGAATTCAGGACACAATCCCAATAATGCCTCTTTCCCTTGCCATGGACTTCCCTAGGAAGTTTGTTATGAATGTGTTTCTTAGCTGAGTCTTTACTAATCCTATCGTAGATGGAAAATTTTGCAGAAAAAGGCAATAAAGCCATCAAGTTTTCCCTCCAGGAAACTTCACGTATTCTTCCAGAATTCTCTTTATCCACCCTGGAGCAAGAACTTCCGGAAGAAAGTGGGACTGGAGCTTATGGTATATCCCACTGCTACATTGGTGGCCAACTTTGGGAGCCGCAGTGTCTAGGGCAGTGGAGAGTGACTTGTCTTTCATAAACATCTTCCTTTCATCTTCTCTAACTGCAGAACCTAGAGTTTTGTTTCCTTTTCCTCCTTCCTTCCCAGTTACACGTTTTGTTAAAATATTACAAGAATGGAAAGCCTCCCTGACTATTCAGTATCACTTCTAGGCACACATTTACTTTGTTTTACAGATTGCATTTACGTGTGGAGGAGTTTTCCATCTAACCCGGCAAATCTTTTTTGTCTAAACTTTGCTAACTTGGGTTGTGTGGTCAATTGCACACTGTATACATGGGGGGATAATTTGGATCTGGGGAAGGAGAGAGGAGGAAATATGTGGAGTGGGATGGGATCTCCTGGGGTGGGGGAGGTATGCTGCCTTTTCACCCCGACCATGATGACCCTCCTCAGGAACTCATGAAGAACAACTGCCCACACTAGCCTTGCCCCAGGTCTTCCACATGGCTAAACCAAGGAGTTCCTGCAAATAGTTCTTTCAATAGCCAGGGGGTCACTTCTGCCATGAGTCAGAGAGGGTCTCAGGGGCTGGTGTATCTCCACACAGGAGCCCTAGGAGGCTGACTATCTGTAGCACCACCTCGAACAATGAATTCTTGCATGATTAAAAATGTTCTGTTTTCATAGTGTAATTCTTAGGAATTCAGGACTACAGAAATATTGACCATATTCCCCCTCATTTGCTTCCTTCACTTTACTTATTAGCTCACTTTTTGTCAAGATCTTAGTCAACAATCTGTGCAGTATTTGAAAGTGGTGACTGTCATTGGTTCAGTATACGTTTAACAGTAAGGACTTCTTACAAATTTGGATAAGGCCTTCCTCCCTTTCCTTTTATTTCCAAATTAATAAGTTTTTAAAAACACCCCCTTTTTTTCTTCTAGTATGCTCATTGTGTTTCCTTCTAGTATGCTCATTTGTGTTTCCTGTTTCTTCCACTTGTTCCATCTTGTGAAGGAGGGGCAACGTTTGCTCCCCCCAATTAACCTAGGGAAGATTATCATTGGGAGCAGGTAAGTGACATCTTGGGGTCCTGAGAATCACAAGGGGCAGCCAAACTTCTGAGTTGAACTTCATTGTTTCTTTGTGGGAAATCTTATCCCCAGGTCACACTGACCTTTAGGAGTATTTATATATTTTGTGTTGGATGTGTCACTTGTATTGCAAGTGATGAAGTCATGGTGAAAAGCAGATAGGCTTTTTTTTTTTTTTTAATGCCCCAAATACTAGGCCTGGGGATTACAGAGCCAGGTTTGAAGTTTCTAACTGAACTGCAAGTAACTCTGTCCCTCCTGGTCACAGACCTCCCCTGATGGAGGTGTTATAGCTGCTAGTAAGTGACTGGCTCTTTTTCTCTGGAATGAGCTATACTTTGGATATCCAACTGTCCACTGCTTCTTTTTATCAACAGGTCTACGTGCCCTAAGGGTTTTAGTCTAACAAGGGAAGGACCAGGAGTAGGATTTAAAGCTGGATCTAATGGAGCCCAGGGTGGGATTTTTAATCCTCAGTCAGTCACAATTATTTGCCTCAAAACAGACACTGAGAAATCCAGCTGTATAGGTAAGGGCACTCATGGACCCACAGCTGCCTGTGAATGGAACCTGGGACATTTTCCAGAGGATGAGAGTAATCACCAATCTGTCCTCCAGTCATTTCTCAAGATCACAGAGCTTCAGGTTCCTACTAAACACATGGGGTCCAGATTTTGCTTCTCTGAGAAAACTGATCTCTAGAGTGTCTATTCCATATTGAGAAACTCTCACTAGGTAACTTCAAGGCAGGTTGAGAGGGTGGGATGGATCCACCCACCTCCCTTTCTTCCTGGTCTCCCTGCTGCTAGAGGAATCTTTCAAGGAGTGGCAACACTCAGCAGCCTCTAGACTTGGTAGCCAACTCATTAATCCTTATGATACCCCTGGAGGTAGGTTGGTCATGAATACCATCTTGAGTTTGTAGACAGAAAACCAAGATACAGAGAGGGATGACAGTAACACAGCTACTAAATGGCAGAAATAGAAAAAAAAAATCCTGGTCTCTTGATGCCTGGGTCAATTTCTCCCCAAATAGTCTTCCTCTTTTATTGGGAAGACTAATAGGAAAAATGGCAACTTCCATGGTGGGGGGTGGGTACAGACAGTGAGGCAGGATGCTGCTTCATCCAAGGAGATACACTCACTCACAGGCTTCTGTTCCAGCCCAGACAAGGAGACCAGCAGCCTTCACCCATGCCTCTGCAACCGCTTCCAAACAGCACCAAGCAGCTTTCACTTAGAGCAGGGTGCACTTCTCCTTTCCTTTTCTCTTTCGGATTAGGTCCTAGTTGAGACAAAACACTCCATTCTGGTGATAATCAAGTTATTCTCAGGTTCTGAGTTTATATCTTCTTAAAAATGAGTCTTCGGGAGTAAAACTGTAGGAGCAGTAGTGTGGTCTTTGGGGTGAGTACAGTGACACAGTCTCTGAGGCCTGTGACTGTGCTACTTGTCTCATCATCCGGGAGGTCTGGGTGGAATAATGTTGATGGCAAGGGGCAGATTCAAGCCGTGGCCAGAAAGAAAGTCACATTCTTTGAGATAAAATGTATCTCTTCTCTTCAGCTACCCCCTGCCTGATATGTTCTTTCATTGAAATTTTGTCACTTTGGATTAACCTAGGTAAAATACATTTTAGGCTGTCTTTTAAAATGTAAAATTTCCCAGAGTAGTTATCAAACAATCATACCTTAGGATGAATTTAATTTTTAGACCACTTTGTTTTGGAATGGGGCACTAAGGAATGGGAATATTGTCACTTGGAGAGGAATAGTTTTGGGGGAGGCTTTGCTCTGGAAAAGCATATCTAGAATGATTATCAAAAAAAGGAAGGGGATAACCGGAGGGTAGCACAAGGGATCTGCACATACTTTGGGATAGTATTGACTGTGGGAAAGATAGAATGAAGGCAGTTTTCTGGGTACTTCTTTTGGGTTCCCTGGTGGTCCCCTGTCCAGATCTCTGCCATGTTATTTTGGTTTCTATCCCTCCTTCCTTAGCCTTGGCACTGCAGCCCATGAAGCATAGCTCTGGTTTATAGAAACCATCTTGGTTATCACTTTGTCCCAGTCTGGGAACTGTTTGGCTCCAGGTAAAAATTGCTCCCTGTGTGAAATATGTACTTACACTTGAGGATTTCCCTGGATTGGGCTCTATGATTGAGGAAGGCTGGTTGTGAGGGTAAGGGGTAGGAGAACTTCGAGATCCCCCTTGTTACCTTTAGTCTCTATGTCCCTTCCAGGATGAGGCCTGGTCTGGGACTAGACTTTGGGATTCTGACTGTTGGAGCTCCCACTTTGTAAGAGGCTCTCCCTAGTATCACTGTGATGGTCCTCTTTGTACACATCTTGTGTCTAGGTAAGGCCTGAGAGCTGACTCTCCTCAAGACAAAGACAGGTCAGTGGGCAGGTTATCTGCTGGCTTGCTCCCATCCCCTGATGAAAGGGGGTGTGGATTTCAGGCTGACCGCTGATATTGGAAGAGGAGAGGGAAGAAGAGGATCTTCTTATTTCAGGGAAGAAAACTGTGACCAGACTCACAAGGCTCTTTCAGTTCAGGGAGAGGGTGAGAGTCTTGCTCTCTTTCTTTTATGGTACCCAAGGCAGAATCCCCACCAATTCAAGGGATAAAACTGAATCAGAACCCAGGGGTTACGGTGACCCAAAAGAAAGGCCAGTGAGAATATTGGGTATCCCCTGGACTGATGATTTTAACCAAACACTCCAAAATGGTGAGATGAGATTTGGGAGCCATAAATAATATGAATAATTCCATAGGAAAGCTGGGCTCACCAATAATAGGCTGATCTTGCAGTTTGGTGCCCCATAGGTTAAATTTGGTTTGTACACATTTTGTTTGGCCCACACAGCATATTTAAAAATTAGTTGGCAATATTAAAAATTTCACTGAAAAGTTTGGACTTCTGGCTTCTCTGGGAAAATCAGACAGTCAGGTAACACTGCCTAGTAATCAGTGCCTGGTACTGAGTAGCAGAGCCCCCCAATCTTCACAACCCTAGACGTCCCGTGGCATTAGAACAGGTCCACCCCATCAGGTTAAAGCAGCTGCCTGCATCCCATAGACATCTGAGTTTGGGCCCCTCTGATATGTGATCATGTGGTGTCTGCTAGGGAAGTGCTGGGGTGATAAAAATCTGGCTGAGCTAGTGAGCTTGAGTCATGACTGGCAAAAAGCTATGAGGCAACCACAGTTCTGATTGGAGGGATTTGTATGGAGAAATGGGGATGAAAGCAGAGCTCTCCATTGTAGTTGGGGTAGAGGGGCAGGGCAGTCATTCGAGACTGGGAACTTTGATGGCACAATGGGTTTATCTTGGTCATCCTTTTATATGGGAAATGTGGTTTCCTAGTTGCACAGCAAGTACTGTGCCCCTGCAGTGCCTGTCCAACCAGGGGCGGGTGTGAGGGGAGGGACAGAAGACTCAAATCATGGTGGTGTTTCGAGGTTTCATCTTTAGGTTTCATCTTGCCCTATGTTAGCTCGGGTGTCCTCTTTTCTTTCTTTCTTTCTTTGGTACCACTTCATACGGTTAGATCGTCTGACCTCGCCCGGCTGCTGGCTTTGCTCAGCCTGCTCAGGGGTCTGGTGTCATCCCTGGTCAAGTCTGGACACAGTGAAGGTGACTTCTCTGCGGGCAGCCCTTGCTTTGAAACCTTCTCAGCCTGCAGCTCTTCTTTCCCGCCCTCCTTCCCCACCTCGGGAGTCTCGGCTTTCTCCCCCTCCAGCGCAGCCATGGTCTCCTGCCCCTCTGTGCTCACTGTCTCAGCTTCCTGCCTCTTGTCCCCCACCTCTGGTTCGGCCCCCTCCTCCACGGGCTGCTCCTCGCCCTCCCCCTCCTGGGCTCCCACCTGAGCATAGGAAGGCAGTGTCTCTTGGTAAGCTCGGGACAGGTCCCCTAGGGGCCCGGTGCCCATCTTCTCCTCGAACTGACTGAAAGGCTTGGCAGAAAGTGGGCTGGTCTCCACCATCCCGACCTCAGTCAAAGGGAAATAGTGGGACACAATTTTCTCTTCCTCCAGCAGCTGGTAGCCCTTGGCTTTCTGGATGGAGGAGACAGCGATGGAGTGGAGGGACTTCTCAGGGATCTCCCCCAGGGGCTGCTCCACCGGCCTCTTGAAGGCAGACCGGATCCTCTTGAGGCCCAGGTGACTCATCTCCAGGATGTTGAGGAAGAGGGACACGGAGGCCACCGACAACATGAACAGGATGAAGATGGTTTTCTCTGTGGGCCGTGACACGAAGCAGTCCACCACGTTGGGGCAGGGCCACCTGCTGCAGCGATAGAGGGGCAGGATCCGGAAACCGTACAGGAAGTAGTGGCCCACGATGAAGCCCACCTCGAAGAGGGTCTTGAAGATGATGTGGCAGATGTAGGTCCTCAGCAGGGTGCCCTCCAGGCGGAACTTCTTGGTGCCTTTGCTGCTGTTGCTGCCCTTCTTGACGCTGCCCTGGTCCACGGCCAGCGGCACCCTGTCGCCGCCGTCGCCCGCCGCCTGCTGGCACAGCTCCTCGGCCTCGCGCTCCTTGCGCTTCTCCTCCATGCGGACGTGGTGCACCGCGTGGCCCACGTACACCAGCGACGGCGTGGACACGAAGATGATCTGCAGCACCCAGAGGCGGATGTGCGAGATGGGGAAGGCCTCGTCGTAGCACACGTTTTCGCAGCCGGGCTGCTGGGTGTTGCACACGAAGTCGGACTGCTCATCCCCCCACACGAACTCGGCGGCCGTGCCCAGGATGAGGATCCGGAAGATGAACAGCACCGTGAGCCAGACCCTGCCGATGACTGTGGAGTGCTCATTCACCTCCTCCAAGATGTTCCCCAGGAAGCTCCAGTCACCCATTTCTCACCCACCTGGAGGAGGGAGAAGGCAAGAGCTGAGCGGCCACGGTGCCATCTCCAGTGGGGGATGCTAACACTTTTTTGCTAACACTCGGGGTCCCTCTCCTTTCTGAGCTGCCAGAATGTGCTTGAGCACCGAAACAGCTCCTGTGGAGTGCTTCCTCTGTGTAGGCTAGGATGAGGAGCCAAGAACGCCCCCAGAATCTGCTTCCACTAGCTTCCTCATCTGCAAAGTGGTTTTAACACTAATACCTGTTCTTGGACACTGTACAAGTGGTGGTCTGAAAGGATAAATGAGGCAATATAGATATAATTCCTTGAATTCCACCCCAGTAAGAGTTCACTGTTGACCGTAAATAGAAACCTATGCTTACATGGATTCAAATCAAGACCACAAGCTAAACTAAGCTTCAAGAAGCACACTGAGGAAAGAATACCCTTTACCATGGGTGTTTGGGCCCCCACCAAAATTCTAGGATGTGTGAAATTGTCTGTAGCCATCTTACTTTTGAATGTGTTGTAATGTATAATGATCCTGTGTTTGGAGGGAAGTGGAGGAAAGAAATGTTTTTTCAACATCTACTATTTGACAGCCTTCTGACATTACATTATTTTATTTAATCTGATACTGCTAGGCTATAATCTTCATAAGGCGATGGACTGTGCCTATTTTATTTACTGCTGCATACTCAGTGCCTCTCATAGAGCCCAGAGCTGAGTGAAAGCTCAAAACATGTTTAACCAATTTGAAGTAATTTTCTTTTTTTTTTTTTTTTATTTATGATAGTCAGAGAGAGAGAGAGAGAGGCAGAGACATAGGCAGAGGGAGAAGCAGGCTCCATGCACCGGGAGCCCGACGTGGGACTCGATCCCGGGTCTCCAGGATCACGCCCTGGGCCAAAGGCAGGCGCTAAACCGCTGCGCCATCCAGGGATCCCTGTTTAACCAATTTGATTTGAACACATGAGAAAGCTGAAGTTCAGAAAGGTTAAACAAACTAAGATCAGATGCAGTTTTGTCTGCCTGGTCCCAAAGTCTGTTCTTTCCACTACACCCTGGAGATACATTGCTTTCGATCAGAACTACACAATTCTGCAACTCCTGGACTCTTAATTTATGTTTTTTCTTCTCTAGGTTGACATCTGGAAACCATTCTTAACAGCTTCACAAACTGACAGCAATATTCTTTTATAATAATAATAATATAAAAATCCAAAAGAATGGGGAGAGTGCTTCAGGGAGGAATCATGTTATAGGGTGAGGAAGGTCCACTGAGACGCTTTTAGTGTCCCACAGAATGAAAAGGTTTTCGGATCTGTAACATGAGGATATTTTAATAGAGTTAAAAATTTGTCAGGAAAAAAAAATACCGTTAAACATGACAGCATATAATGCCCCTAGCAACAGCAATGACTAATGCACATGGGATCGAACTGACAGGGGTGATGTGTGCAAACTGGGACATTCACCCAGTGCAAATATGTGCTAATCTATGAAGGATTATGATCAGAACTTCCACCTTGGGGCACCTGGCTGGCTCAGTCCAAGGAGCATGGATGGGACTCTTGATCTTGGGGTTGTGGGCTCAAGACCCATGCTGGGTGTGAAGATTACTTAAATAAATATATATACTTTAAAAAAGAAAAAAAAAATCAACCCCTTCCACCTCAGCCTGTAGCAGATGCTCTTCCAGCCTGAACATTTCTAGAATTACAGTGTTTCCTCATCACAGCTCTTAGACCAGGGCAAGAGTTCATGCTGGAGATGCTACTCTGGGCTTCTCTCAGTCATGTCCCACCCTTTGGGATCAGAAGCTCATAGGGACAAAGCCCACTTTTAAATGAGAGTGAAATTTGTTAGACAGTTGAATGGGTGATGATAAGTGGTATCTTAAATTAGGTGTGATTTTCATTGCTAGGAAAGGATAAACAAAATGGCACCTTAAAGCCGCCTTTCAACCTGTCATTTGGAGCCTGGCCAGACAGTATTTGGTGGCAGACAGTGATTGCAGGCATGAGCAATGCCTGACCTGTGCTCTCAGGGTATGCACGACTGCTGTCTGCTTTTAGTTGAAGAGCAGAGGGTGTTGCTCCTCTTGGAGCCCTAGAAACTCCCAATGAGGTAGGGCATCCAACAGCAGCTTCTCTCCTCCTGGGCAGGCAAGAGCATCTGTAGCTCTCTGGGAACGGGGGACTGAGAGTGGGAGAGGGTCCTCTACTCAGAACCAGCTGTTCAGAATCCCAGTCACATGCATCTAGTTACACTTCTACTATTAACACTCCTCCAAGTGCATTTAAATCTAGTGCTTGCTCTGTAATGAGAGGCAGCCATTTCCATTGTCTTCTGGCAGATGGAATCAGGTAAACAGGTAAATCAGGTAAACAGCCAAGGCATAAATCCTTTTGGTGGCAGAGCCAGGAAAACCCAAATTTCTTATCACATGGTTCAAACTAACATTCATGTGAAAACAACAATTTGTATAACTTATTCCTATAAGAACAAGTCTGGCTTTAACATACTCTGCATCTAGTGTTGCTAATGTCTTATCCTCATTGATACATCAACTCAGTTTTGACATGGTCTTTGTATTGTACTGTATTAGTCCTTTGGGTTTCTGTGTGTATTTCACTTATGTACCTAATGAATGTGTGGGGTAAGCACACACTCTCAGGACTGTATGTCTATCAGTCTTGTTTCTGCCTTTGAGAATCAAAAGCTCTTGGAGGGCAGGGATCATTTTGTCTTCATCTTCTGTGAACCATAATGACACAAAACAAAGACCTTCACAGAGTCGGTGCTTCATAAATACCAGTGCATGGGACCAACATTAATAGTTTGAAATCTGAAATTCTCAATCTCATGTAGTACCATGTAGCACACATGTAGTACCAGTACTACTTAAAGTCTAGGGAACTGCAGGCTTCTTTGCTGGAGTTAGCAGTGGGGAGACTGAAAACTTGCAAAGAAATGCTAAATGCCAAAAAAGATAGTAAATTGATCCGAAACTAACTGTTTTAAGGGACTGTTTTGTATAAACAAAAAGGGAAGGTCAATGATTCTTGATAGGTAATGTCATGGCGTATATTCATGGAATATGAAGAGCCTCCTGACCACCCCATCGGTAATTTCCAAACTAAAGCCAAACACAGCTGTGTTCTTCTACACCCCACCCTGCAATACCAGGATTGAGCGTGTGTATGTGTGTGTGTGTGTGCATGTGTGTGTTTTAATGTCTAGTTACAAAGTTTTTCATAATAATAGAAGGAGAGAAAATAACTTAGGACAAAATCTTTCCACTTCCTTGCTGTTGAAACTGGCCAACTATGCTTTTAAGAGAAGCTTTAGAGGTGCTAAAGGTAAGTGCCTTGGGTCCCTGACTTCTACCAATGAAAATTATGCTTAAAGCAAGTCAGATCAGAGTATATACGAACAAGCTATTCATTCCGCTGGAGCAGGGAGTAATCCAAACCAAAGGAAGAATATTTCTCTTTTCTTCAAAGAGGAACAGATCTTTTATAGATCTGTTTATAGATAGAAAATAAACCAGTGGAGGTCAAGCCTCCACCCTCAGGGTATCCGCCAGAATATCCCACCAGAGGATTACAGTTTTAAGTAATGATTAAAATGATACCTTGTATTTGAGTACCCCTTGTCTATTTATAACTCTTCCATTTCTTGTTTTAGTCCTCATAACAGCCATGTGAACTAGGCCAGTGGTTCTCAGAATTGGACTTCACAGACTAGTATAAGAACAACAGAATAGGGTGACTAACATAGGGCTACCAACTCTTAATTTGCCAAGCAAGGACATAAAAATAAGAAACTTATTAAATCACTAATTATGGGGGTGCTTAGGTGTCTCAGTTGGTTAAGCATCAGCCTTCAGCTCAGGTCATGATCTCAGGGTCCTGGGATGGAGCCCTGTATCAGGCTTCCCACTTGGTGGGGTGTCTGCTTCTCCCTCTCCCACTGCTCCCCTGCCCTGCGTGCTCTCTCTCTCTCTCAGTAAATATTAAAATCTTTTAAAAAATAAATCACTAATTATGACTATAGTCTGTATTCACCATCGTTTTGTAAATGGGGAATTTTCATACTACAAAAGTAGAAAAGCCATATTTTCAGAATAAAAGTCCTTTAAATCAAACATATTTAAATTGGTGAAAAATTGACTACATAGTTTACTACATTATTATTACAGGCTGCTGAAAGGTTCATCTTGGACCAGAACTGACAAGTCTAGAGAATGACTGAGAACACGTGAACCAGGCACATTCAGCCTCCATTAACAGGAAGGCAGATTGGGAAGTTAAATAGTTCTGCCAAAGGGGCTCATCAGCTGGGGGCAGAACAGGGATGTAAGCCTGGGTCTTCCAGTTTTTCAAGCCCAGGGCAATTTCCAGTAAATTATAGTCTTCTCTTGCCTTCAAAGAGGCAGAATGACACACTTACGTCCTTGTTAACCAGCTCTCTGAAGGAATAGATGGCCACTTACCACTCCGGCTGGTAAGAGGGTGTAAATGTACTTCCATTCATGTCTCTAGAGCAGCCACTTTAAAGAGCGTCTCTCCAAGAGGGCCGACAGAGCCTGCTCCCAGGAAGATGTTTATGGTCTTCAGCTAGACCAGTTCTTGTGTGGCATTAAATGCTCCAACATTGAAAATGTGGAGCATGAAGCCTTCTACACCCACAGCCCTCGGTAGTTTTTACTATTACTCCTATCACAGAGGTCAAGTGAAAAAAGTGCAAAACTCATAAATATGAAATACTTGTTCTGTGTCCCTCAGGATTCCTGGATGCATGTTAATTCATTCTGAAAAATGAGAAAATCTTAAAAAAAAGTCAAATTGTGGTTAAATTTTGGGCATCTACCTCCCTTCCCCTTTCCCCATTGCTACATTCCTTTCCCTCCCAAATCTCTGCCAACTCTTAGGTCAATTCCAAGAGAGTTTTCAGAACTGGACTCTAAGTCCAGCCTGTCCAACCCAAGACTGAACTTCAGTGACAACATTTTTCCTTTTATAGAAGCCCAGATATGGCCCTTAGATTAGGCTGGAAAAGAAGCTGGGGTTGCAGGGGGGAAGGCTACAGACCAATATAACCCAAGGAAAACTTGCCAGTAGGAGTAGGGTCCCCCGGAGAAATATGCGCTCTCTTTCTCTCTTGGCGCTCAGCAGCAAAATGGCAACTTTGGCCTCTTTCCTTTGGCACCTAAAAGCCCACCTCCCACTTCTCTATCCCGCCCCTACTGTGCTGCATGACTGAGCAGATATGACTGGATTGGCACTGATGGGTAGGTTTTACTGTCCAGCAATATTTTAAGCTCCCAGCCAGACAGCTTTTATGAAGGGAGGGATGTTTGGAAAACAATAGGAGAGAGAGAATGGGAGAGCTGTGTTGGGCACAGAGGGGAGGAGGGTGGGGAAAAGCTGATGTGGGAAAGCTTAGATGGGCTTCTGTAGCTTCCAAAAGTGTCTTTTAGCAGCAGACTGGCCCTCTACTGCAGAAAACCTTTGGCTTCTCTCCAGAGGGCCTGAGGCTGGGGCAATTTTCCCAGTATCGTCAGCTTAGAGAATCCCTAGGTAGGGACAGTAAGAGGTCACCTATGTGCATCCCCCTGCCCCCAGTCAGACTGTGCCAAAGCACCCCCTCCCCCCAAAAAGAGCAGTTAAGTCCTTTACAAAGATTGATCTATCATCCTCTACTCGGGGTTTGTTCTTGTGTCTCAAAGTTTCTTCCTTTGAGAGGAGCCTTAATACTCCGAAGAATTCTGCTGCCATTTGTCAATAGAATATTTCCCACCTTGTTTTACTCATAATTACAAATACTTCTGAGAACCTGCAGAGTCAGGGAGATTGATTATGCAGGGTCAGCTAACAGTTTTAGACTCTTATGCCTCCAACTGCAAAATGGGGGCATGAGGTTTACATCACCAAGAAGCTCCGGGATGAAATGCCTGTGTGTGGCCTAATGAGGAATGATGTTTGGGAAGCTAGCTCTGAGGGCATGAATGTATGCTCTCTGCCTCCCCGAGGCCCATCCTCTTTCCATTGTCTGGGACTGACCATTACATTGATATGAAAAATGATTGTTTTGACCACATTTTCCAAACCCCAAAGTTATTATGTAAGTTTATGTATGGAAGTAAGGGAGCAAAAATAGTTGGAACTGGGATGTTTTAGGAAATCTATAATATATGATTACTAAGTGGAAGGCAACTTTGAGAGTAAACCGGAAAAAAATAATCTGAGTGCTTGCCTCTTCTCAACCTTCATTTCCTGTCCTTTCTGGTGTCATGGAAATATTACATTTTGATGGTGGTTGTTGGAAGGGTGATGGTACCAAAGTTGTATGAGTCTCCAATTCCAATTGTATTATAACGTTCACTATCTTACTTACTTTAGAATTCTGATTTCTTTCAGACTTCAAATTTGAAGGACTACTCTAACTGGGACAGAGCCTTCTAGAGAATCCCTCATTTAAAAACAACTGGCCAAGGCTGTTCTCCAATATCAGTGAGGCAAGAAGTCAGAGGAGAGACGGAAGGAAACCCAGTGTTTCTTTTGAGAGCATTTGGTAAATGTTGATTCCTGGAGCTTGTGCTTTCTCTGAGATATTCCAGAAACTACAGACTTCTTTTCAAATGAGTTTCTCTCATTTAGGGATTTCCAGGCTAACTTGGCTTGTGATAGAGCAGCCCCACCTCCTGACATCATTTTGTGAGAGATGGTCATAGAGGATGTGATTGAGTCTGGAAAAATAAAGAATGTCATCACAGCTCTGAACCAACTATAGTCTCTCAGGTTTGGACAAATCTAGCTTTCTTTGCTTATTTATTCTGTTGGTGTTGAAGACACTCTGCTAATAGTGCCCACTTGATTGAATTATTTTTGTTGTCAGTTTTTGTTTGTAGTCTTTGAAAACACACTCAATCCCTTACCTCTCGAGGAACATTTTGAAAGAGATGGGAGGGGAAGCTGGGTGGCTCAGTTGTTGAGTGTCTGCCTTTGGCTCAGGGTGTGATTCCCCGGGTCCTTGGATCAAGTCCCACATTGGGTTCCCTGCAGGAGGCCTGCTTTTCCTTCTGCCTATGTCTCTGCCTCTCTCTTTATGTCTCTCATGAATAAATAAATGAGCTCTTAAAAAGAAAGGAAAGAGAAAGAAAGAAAGAAAGAAAGAAAGAAAGAAAGAAAGAAAGAAAAAGAAAGAGAAAGAAAGAAAGAAAGAAAGAAAGAAAGAAAGAAAGAAAAAAAGAAAGAAAGAGAAAGAAAAAAATGAGAGAGAGGATCATCTTAGGCTCATCTGTTATTGAGAGGTGTTTGAAGCAGCAATTAGAGTCGGTTTTTCAGGTCTTTCAGTAGGAAGTCCTCTTGTGGTGGCTCTATTGTTTGATGTAAATAAAGCTCTAGAGTACGGGGTCTAACCACATTTGAATGCAAATACCACTTTTCTGTTTTGTAGTATGGATTATTAGAGCATTGACGTTTTGGATAATCTAACAGTGGCATTCTATTCAAGGTATGTTTTGGAAGCAGTGAAACAGTTATGTGTGGGGAGACCATTGGATTTTCAGTGGGAAGGCCTGGCTCTGGGTGGGGCCCTTTCTGTTTCTATTTGTAAGCGGTTTGCTCAGTCTCTCTGTGTCTTGGTTTTCTTATCTATGGAAGAGAGATGATAATGACCTCCTTTCCTCTTTTGTGAAAAGGTGGTGTTGGCTATTGATAATAATGATGGTGGCTATTGATCTAACCCATGCAATGCTGTGAATCCCTGTCCAGTTGTTAGTTATGTTCACTGTGATCTCCTCCCCCCTCTGAATCTGTCTGTGTCCTGTGCCCCAGGATCATGGGTTGGCTTGATTAAGATCATACATGCTCCCCTCCCACAGGGAAAATGTCAGAACTGGAAAAGACCAGAAGAAATTGTGGGCCTCCATCCCTCGTTTTACAGGTGGGGAAACCAATTCAGGGTGGAAATGACATCCTGAGGTTGTGGTACAGCTCTGAGGCCCAGGAATTTCCATGGCTCTGGATGTTTCCATGTAGGGGTATAGACTCACTAAGCAGCAAGCCTCTTTAGGGAGAACCCGGCAAATCCTATTGTGAGCAGGAGGGCAGGCAGACAGCTGTATGGGGCCCGAGGGGACTGTTACCAGTCAGTCTCAGTGACTGGAATTAGGAGGCACAGAATCTTTCTCTTTCAGCTGCTTGTGTGTGCAAGGGAGAATGAGTCTCTGAGAAACCCAGGGCCAGGGGCTGTGGGTGAATTGGGTCATTTCCCTGAATGTCGAGGCCTGGCTCTGACTTCGTGGACAATGTTTGGAGAGTCACTTCACAAGCATTTTCTGAGCTCCCACCATAGGAGGTATTTCGGACACATCAGTGAGTAAAACAAAAATCCCCTCCATAGCAGAGCTGATGGTCTGATGGGGGGAGGGGATGATTCTCTTTAAACACAATAACTCAGGGAATTACACAGTAGGTTAGGAGGTGATAAGAGCTACCTCAGAACGAAAAAGTTCGGAGGTGGGAGGGGAGCGGAGGGATTGAGAGAGCCAATTAGAGGAGAGGGGTGTTTCTCACACAGACCTCACTGAGCAGGTGAGGTTTGAGCACACTTTAAAGAGGGTGAGGAGGGGCACTTGGGTGGCTCAGAGGTTTAGCGTCTGCCTTGGGCTCAGGGCGTGATCTTGGGGTTCTGGGATCCTGCTTCTCCCTCTGCCTATGTCTCTGCCTCTCTCTTTCTCTGTGTCTCTCATGAGTAAATAAATAAGATCTTTAAAAAAAAAAAAAAGAGGGTGAGGGAGAGCTCTGTGAGGGTGTAGTGGGAAGAACAAGCCAGGCCAAGCCTTTCAGCAGCAGGCAGGCTAGGTGTGGCTGAAACAGTGGGTGTAGACAGGATCGGCTGGAAAATGTAATTTCTGTCTCTTGATTATTTCATCTACATATGGTTTGTTCATCTTTAAAACTTCGATGATACCAAGAAATGAGATACCCAGCCTCCAACGCGGAACTTTGCCCTCCTCTTCTGCCCCAAAGCTTTTGTGAAGTTGTCAGTGTGTGCCTGGTGCTGTGCTGGGAGCACAAACTTGGATGGAGCACAAGCCCTGCGGTGATGCCTAGCGCGCCGAGTGCACAGAGAAGCCTCATGCCCGTCTGCTCAAGGAGATAAGGGCCTGGCAGAGGAGGGGGGTCTGGCCTACGAGAGCCTACCTGAGGCTGTGGCTTCCGTCTTTTAGGAACAGGAACAGAGAAACCATGAAATGCCAGGTTTTGGAATGAGATCCGTTCACCATCACCATCCCCGCCCCCCCACCCCAATCTGCACCTGGCCTTGCTCACCTGACTGTCCTCAGCTCCTCCTCTGTTTTCTCCTGTGAAAAATGGCAAGAGTCACAGTGATTCAATAAAACAATATGCATAAGATTGAGTTTAGTACTTGACATTCAGTGAGCACTTGCTAAAGAGTAACTGCCATCATCACTATTAGGAACAAGGTTTGGCTACCACCTGAAGGAGAGCCAGGACTCTTTGCTTAACCAGCAGAGGGATCAACACTTACTTTTCCTTGCTTGCACCACCTGGAGAGGCCTGGAGGTAAGCTGTGGCCCTGTCTGTCCCTCCTCCCTGGCCAGTTTGGTCGTGAGCCAGAGATTCTTCTTCATCACAGCCATTTGGCTGAGATTCAAGGTCTCCTGTGCCCTTAGGGGCAAGGGATGGGCTGGAGTGGGGGACAGGGGTCACTTTCACTGGGGAGAGGATTTCCCTCACAGACGGTTGTCAGGACAAGGCCGGGCACTCTATTGAACAGAGCAGCTCATGCATGAGAGCAGATTGTGCCAATTCTATAGAGCACGACCCCTGGCCCTGGCTTCTCCTGCTAACAAAGTTATCTTTTCCAATCTGCTTAGGCAGAAGGGGGACACACTTCCTGTCCTTGTGCTGAGCATGCAGAGTAAGCAGGACCCAGGCCAGGGTTAGATCTGCCTCTCGGCACTCACCCCTTCCTGCCAATGCCTCCCCTCTCCCCACTAAAAGTCCTTAAAAGTCTTAGGTTCTCTTCAGCTGCCCCCATCACCTTAGTGAGAGAACTCAGGCTGCAGAAACTGGCCATTGGCTGGGTTTGAGACTAGGGAGTGTCCTGGCATTCTAGCTGCAGGGGGGGGGTGCAGGGAGAACATTCCAGAAGAGGTGT